CGGACGGCCCACCCGTTTGAACTAATAAAGTGCCAGGGGCCTAAGTGGTCACCTCAATATTAAAAAAAAAAAAAAAAGCAAGTACTTTTGAGCAATATACAAAAAGTCTTTTTAATTAGAATTTTGTAATACTGGCTTACATAAACCAAAATAAGTAATATAAGAACTAAACATATTTTGATTAATATATACAAACTATGGTTTGAATTTAATTTGAGAAAATAAATATCATTACCTGCATTTACTATATTGACAGATTTAGAAATTATTATAATTAATAATATAGAGCAAATTTATTTGTAACCGGCAGTGATAGTCTCCAATCATGTGCAACCAATCAAATTAATGTGTAACAAACCCTATTAATCTTAGAAAATTAATACAGGTTGGATCTCGTAGAACCAATCAAAAAAAGGTAAAATTAATTATTACATTTTTTATACCAAATCCACGTTCTTTATTGATCAGTATCAAAAAAAAAACTATACATTAATGAATAAAACTCTATTCTAACACAACACTTACTAATGACCAACTACTCTAACTACAAACAAATCGTATTCAAGCGAAAACTCCAACACAATACTAAAACGATGAAATCACACTAGCAAAAGCTTTCAAAAAATAATGAACTGTAAACTTCAAAAACGACGACACTGAAGCGATAAAATCATACCAGTAAAAGTTTTCCAAAAGTGATAACGAAATTATATCTAAAATGATAGCACCAAAACGATAAAAATCACACCTCCAAACATGACAACACTGAAGTGAACTACCTGTTGTTCAAATGAAGCTAAACCCGAAAGAAAAATTAGTTCAAGCTGAAAAAAAGAACCAAAAGCAAACAAAAAAAAAAAAAAAATAGAAAATAGAAAAAAAAAACACAGTAAAATACTTATCTTATTACAAGATTCCAACTCAAGCTCCATATTCTGGCGTCTCAGCGAAGCTAGCCCATCCTGCAAAATTCCAGTTTCAAAAGTCTCCAAAAATGACAACATCGAAGCGACCACGAAAGCTTCAAAAACAATGATACTGAAACAACTAGCAAAAGCAAAAGCTTCCAAAGATAACAACACTGTAAACTTCAAAAATGACACAGTGAAAGCTTTCAAAAAATAACAAACTATAAACTTCAAAAAACGACAATGCCGAAGCAATGAAATCATACTAGCAAAAGCTTTCCAAAAGCGACAACGAAATTATATAGCACCGAAATAATAAAATTACACCTCCCAAAAATGACGACACCGAAGTAATCTACCCATTGTTTAAATGAAGTAAACCTGAAAGAAAAATTAGTTCAAGCCAAAAAAAAAAAACCAAAAACAAATAGTAAAAAAAAAAAGATTCCAACCCAAGCTCCACATTCCCTAGTATCTTAGCAAAGCTAGCCCACAAAAAAAAAAAAAGTATCAAAGCTTGAAAAAAAAAAAACAACTAATAAACTACTTATTCTGCAAGATTCCAGTTTTAAGCAGGTCTAATATTACCTATTGCACCAATATATAAACAAAGAAAATAAACAAAAGTGCAAAAGAGAATAAAAAAAAATAAAAAAATAAAATGAAAAACAAAAGAGCGAAAGAAAATAAAAAGAAAAAATAAATAAATAAATAAATAAAACAAAAGAAAATAAAAAATAAAAAATAAAAAAAAACTGTAAAGATCTAGATCTAGATCCAGATCAGATTAAAGGGATAAACTGATCCCTAGCTCGATTCAGAACTGTCACTGCTAGTAACAAACACATTTTTTCAATAATATATTACTAACTTTTTAAAAAATATATATTATTACCTGATTTAGGAAGTTTTAAAATATTCAAAAATCAACTTGTATAAATAGCTTACAGATGTGTCTGATATTTGAACTATTTAACTTGAAGAAATTTTTGTCAAAGCTTAACTTGCTTATATAATTTAGTTTCTTTATTTTCCAAATTATATATATTAACTAATTTTTTAACAATTCAAGATTCTGCATCTAAGCACTTATTTATCAAAAGGAATTAAGAAGCTTCGCATATAATTTTGAACCTATAGCCAAGACAAATACATGTTGCTAAATCTTCATTGTATGAAATATCATAATATTTAGTAAAAACTTCTGACATAATTATTATTTTTATTATTTTTTTTTAAATCTTTGACAGTCTTGCTAGTGCTTAATTTATTAGGACTATATTTCAGGTGAGAGCTAAGCTCTCTCGAACAATACATATATCATTCATAACCAAAAAACAGGGAGTCTCG